CGTGTAGCGAGTAAGCAAGCAAACTCGTACAACTCAACGCAGCATGAGAATCATACGATGTTACGTCAGAGTAGTGCCGTGTGCAAAAACCGGTTTCGGTGACACACCCCCTTGCGACCGCAACCGACTGCAGCCGCGCCTCCTGCAACATGGCGCCGGCGCATCTTTTGTTTAGCGTCGACGGACAGTGATGGCGGCACATAAAGAGGCGTCAACTAAATCACGAAATGGTCAAGCGCGAACCTTTATTATTATTAATTAGCTTTAAGTTTTATGATATAAATACCTGCACCTTTGGTAGTAATTTTAATTATCTTTTGTAATAGTTACCTGCAATACATTCTGTCGCTTGACGCTTGGAATTTTATTTTCGCTTTGCCGCTGCTATATTGCTATACCGCTTTAGGTACCATCCATAGCTACCTAACATTGTAAGCAGTGCACTTTTAATTTCCTGTAAACGGAGTCTACACTGCTTCACTGGTGACCCCGACGTGATTCTAAGAAATACATAATAATGGAATCCAACATCCCGAAAGGTGGTGCGAAGGACATCATATTGGGAGAATCATACAGGGTCGGAGTGAGGACACCACCTTTTAACCCTAGTGACCCAGAGTTGTGGTTCGCCCTTTTAGAGGGTCAATTCGTGCTATCAAGTATAACCGCTGATGCGACGAAATTTTATTACGTCTTGGCCCAACTGGAACCACAGCACTCAGCAGAGATCCGAGATTTAGTAGTCAATCCGCCAAATACAAACAAATACGAAACTCTAAAAACAGAATTGGTGCGCCGGTTGTCAGCATCGCAAGAAAAGCGAATCAAACAGCTGCTGATGCACGAAGAAATAGGTGACAGAAAGCCAACTGCATTTCTCCGACATTTACAACACCTTGCAGGTGAGAATGTCCCTAAGGAGTTTATACGCACAATATGGGCGAGTAGACTTCCCACCCACCTGCAAACGTGCATAGCTGCTCAACAGACGAAGATGTCACTAGAGGATCTGGCCGAACTGGCGGATCGGGTTAACGACGTGGTTCCCACAACCATGCTACTTACCAGCCCAACTCCCAGTCAAGTAGCTAGTACATCACACGTAACCCCTACAGCATCCTCAGATAGTACTATCGAGAGGTTGAC